CGTTTCTGACCACCTCTAATGATGAGAATCTAGAATAAATGCAACCATGGATATCAACTTGGGATTTCACTAAACCTCATGTAGGAATATGTTGTTTACTCTTTATATATATTACCAGCAGATGAAGAAGAATAATTGAGTTTAGAATTTACCTTGTATTGGATAAGAATGAAGTTATATCATCTACAGCTAATTCTTTATGATGTTAATAACTCAGCACATTAGTTTGAAAATATGCTTTGGGAAAAAAGTGGTGGATGTTAATGTCTTGGTCATGTACCCTTTTCGCAAGTGATATCGATGTCGGTCTCACTGTTGTCGTCTTGGATTCGAAATTGTTAAAATGGTCAATATTCTTGTTATCTACGCCATATATTCTCAAATATCAATACTAGTCTTGTTTAGTCATTTTTTTTTCTTTTTCTGATAAATTAAAATACTTAATTGGTTATATTAATTGTCAAACTCAACAAAATTTATGAATTATCTTTAGGTGGTCAAGCAAGTTCGATAAGTACTCTAGGATATTATTCAAGAGAACTAAATTTAAATCTCTCTTCGAGTGTAATTGAGGTACATGTAAGTTGACCCGAACACCTCATCTAAAAAAAAAAAAGACAAAATTTGTGCGATTTATCTTGATTAGTGATTTTTATATTATTAGTAAAAGTTTTTATAGAATGTAATAAAGAATACTTCAAGACGGCTATCCCTGTCACTTCTTTACACATTTAATTTAAATTAAAAAAAAAAAAAAACAAAAAAAAAAAAAAAAAAAAATGCTACGTTACATTAAAGGTTTAAAATGAAATAAAATATTTATCTAAAATTATTTGGGACAATGATTTATGTTTTAGAGTTGTTACGACACTTTTTAACTTGTGGGTGTATAATAATTCGTTAGCATGAACATCTTCTTGTTGAAACTAAAATATTTCTAGTTTTTCAATCATGTTTAGAGCTTTATGGCACGAAACTTTTTGTATTTCTATACTATTAGCCTCAAGATTATTTCCTATCTCTTCTTATCTAATTGTAGCAATGATTTCTTCTTCAGTTAAAACATATACGAGTTGTTGCTTATTTAGATGATCGAGGAAGACATTAATATGCATTTGATTAGTGTAGTGAAGTTGTCGAATCTGATCACTTAATTCTGCAATGAGTCTTTTATTCTCCACATCCACTTCATTTGTAACTTGCAATTCATCGACACCAAGGGTCCTAATTTTGCAGTGCTTAAAACAATTGACAATTGTCTGTGGCTTCACATCAATTGATCATGTAGGAACTGCATTTACAATTTTATTAAGGATGCTTTTCTTTTCTGGTTCCAATATATGATCTTCTATCCGCTTAAAAAATAGACGATTAAAACGTTGACTATAATAACCTTTGAAATTTCTAATGATGCCTGTATCACACAGCTGAATTTTGAAAGTGCTAGCTAGTGGTAGGAATAGAACAGTTGTGTGATACTAATACTAATACCAATACTATTAAAACAATTAATTGAAACCTAATACACACTATATTAAAACATGAATTATAAAATAAAGAATCAAAATATTAATTCTTGTAATTATACCTCTATTAAGTTATAACCTCTTTATACTAATAAATTAGTTTGATCCTACCATTATGATTATAGAGAGAACCTCCTTATAGTAATAAATTAGTTTGATCCTACCATTATGATTATAGAGAATTTTTACTGAATATATATATAGTTTGATGCTTGTAATGAAAAGAATAGAATAAGATGATCAAAGAAATTGGTAAAGCTCAATTCAACTTGTTGAACTTGAAAGAATGGAAAGGTGCGAATACCAAGTTGATCAAATAATGCAAGTGAGACTACAATCAGAATATTTTTCTAACCAAAATGACTTTCTCTAAGTCAATTCCAAGACTCCATGCAACAATTAGGTATGTGTCTATTTTATATATTCTCCTAAACAAATTTGACTTCATCCAAATATTTTTTTACATGCAAAACACAAGTCACATGACCAAACTAAAGACTTTGAATTCATCAAACAAACAAAACCCAGATGGGTTTTGAGTTTCATGTTTCTAGAGAGAACCCAGACCCACCTAACCTGTTTTTTTTTAACTCATTGAGGATTAAGATCAAATAAGTGGGTTGGTTTTGATGGTCTCAAGGCAAAATTCTGTGGATGCAATCATGTGATTGCACTTGTGACTTCAAATGGAACTTCCACTAAAAGCATTTTGGGTGTTTTGATCAGACAAACCAAAACCAATCCTTCAATTAATTCCACTATCTTAATCTTCTCATGTGCACCTAAAGGTTTCACACGTATAATAATTTCAATTTGCCAAAGCTTATGTCTATCCAACTATACTAATCATTCAATTGCCAATCTAAGGGTTCATATAGATTCCCTAACATCATTTACATTAATTAGTCTAACAATCCAATCATGGAGGATTTTGAACTTTATCTATGCATTGAGTTGTTAGTCTTTTCCTCCATTAGTGTAATGAAGAAATGTATATTTTCTATCGTATTAGGATCTGTATCTTGACGTGAACTTTTGTCTGGATAGATAAAAACTTATGATTTGTAATTACAGTATAGGAATATAATTGACCATTAAATTATGGTTTTGGATTATTATGATAGATTGTTATAAAATTCCAATCTTAAATCATTGGTGATGAGAGGAAATCAATCAATCAAAAGAGTATAAATTATATCTCTTCAAAGCTCAAAACAAAACAAAACAAAAGGGGTTTAGGCAATCTTCCAAGCTTTTGGTTTCCTCTGTATTTTTTATGAGTTGATGTAACCTTGACATTTTGGATTAGAAGATTTAAAATAAATTATAAGCTAAAACTTAATAAAAAATAAATATATATATATATATTTAAAGGAGAATAAATAATTTAGTGTGGCTACCACTATCTGTATGATATCTCTATTCATGGAAGTAGTGGGGTTTTGACTTTTGAGGTTCAAATTTTATGCGGAACAAGCAATACCCACTTCAACAAGAAGATGATATTGGAAAGTACAGAGAGATATTTGAAATACATATTGGGTATATTTTTTTAAAAGTACCAATAATTAAATGCTTCTCAATTTTCAAAACCCATATTTATAGCAAAAGAAATAATATTTTTACCTAGTAATAGTAAGAAAGTAAGAAACTACTCTTTAAACTTGAACACCTTTTCAATTTAGAATATGAAAAGAAATATTTTATTTTTCTTTCAAGGTTTTTCATATATTTAGATAGCTTTACTTTCGGCCGCTAAAAAGGGCCTAGTGGGTATATTCAAACCTTTATAAGTAAAGTGGGGCCAAATGGGTATTTTATTAAACAATTGAAAATTGTAGAACCAATCTCAATTCAATTGATTGAGTCAAAGTTTTAAATTATGAATTTGTGATTGATATGAGAATTTTGTTCTTATAGGAGCCGTCTAAGCAACTACTCATTGAAAAATTGGCAAGTGTTTTGTTATTTTGGAGTTATAAAAGTCTAAATTGTACATGCTACCTAACTTTATAGCATTATTTTGTCAAATAATAGAGGCCAAGTTCTTGCATTAGGGCTTTAAGAAAATATATATTTGATTATGACTTGTGATGTAGGAAACAAAGAACAAACTGCTTTGTGTCAATTTGTTCTCTTCCCATCCTTTCAATTTGAATTGGGAGAATAGACTATTAATCTATTTTGTCATATGTATGTATGATTATTGAAAGGGTAATAATATACTTACAACCAAATCTTATAAACTTTTTTTTACAATTCTTATATAATTTTTCGTAATGAGTCCCGTTTTCCTAACAACGGTTTCCTCCTGTTCAATTGCGAACTGTCATGTTGTGATTGTGAAAGAAAATTTATAGGATTTGATTATGAATCAATCTTTATTGTTATTGAAATCAAATAAGATTGAACTTCATGACAATGACAATTGTATTTTAGTAAGAATTAGTAGCTTAAAATCTAGTGTTTAATGGCAAAAGTGTTCAACCAAACATCACATGAGAGAAAAAGTAAAAGGCAATGCCGTTGACATGAAGGCGTTGCAAAAGCAAATTTAGGCAGAGTAGGAGGAACTTTACCTTGAGAATAACTACTTTGAGATTTTGTTTTGCCTAAAATTCTCTCTTATCTTTCAAGGTTTACATACGACCTTTGCGCATAAATTATAGTATTTTAGTTGGTTTTGGAATTTGGACAACAAACTATATGATTGTGATAAGTCATTCAATTAATTATTAGTTGTTGATGCTAAAATTCTGGGTTTGGAATCAATACTTTTTCCAAACCTACAAAATCAAAGACAAAAATTTTGGAAACTCAGGTGATATCAGTATATATTCAACACTTAAATGGCACTAAAAAATATTGTATAGTGTTGTGAAAATTTCCTCATTTTACCTACCAATGCAATTGGTTTCAACTTTGTTAGAGATTCCAGGTTCAAGTCCCCATCAACGCACCCATGTATTGCCTGATGGGTTGCGGTGGTAGGTTCTTGCATTCCCTCCGAGGATTAGGCGGGTTCAGCTTGTAAGTGGACTCATAGTGGGTCCTGGATACCTTGGTTAAAAACAAAAATTCTTTATTTTGTGGTGAAAATTTTCCAAGTGGGCCTCTAAAACTTCTCTCATATGATAATTAATGGGCCATCTTACTGCAATCAAACTATAGAGAAAAGGGCCTCATGCCGGCCGAGTTTTCTGTTGCTATCTAGCTACTACAGTTTCTTTAATCATCTTCCAAAAGTTATGAAATCATTCATGGCATGGCCTCATCATGTCATGCAATCTATACACAACATTAATAAAATAAAACATTAGAGATGTCAAATGGATCGTCGCATTACATGATTGGTAATATAATGCTCTGTTTGGATACCGAAAGGAATTATTTTAAAAGTTAAAAAGCAAAATTTACATTGCCAGAACTTCTGTTTATAAAATATTACAATTTAACTATAAAAGAAACCCATATTGAAGTGTGCCATCTTAATAATGATTAATGATAATGATAATCGTCTCTGGTTCTGGACTCAGAAAATTAATAAAAGCTACAACGTAAGTACGTAAACATCTTAATTACAATTTTTGGGGAACAACTATACATAAATTTCTGCAACAAGCATTTAAGCCAGTTCGATATTACTGCTGCTGCTTGTACAGACATGGACTTAGAATTCGATCATAAAAGATGGAAAAATATCTACCAAAAATTATGCTGGTTATTCAATTAATTTGTATATAACCCTCCCGACTCAGTTATTCATAATAATATAAAGACCCCCTGTTATTTACTTTCTGTGTTTATTAAACCCAGCTGGAGATAATCCTGGCTGAAATAGGGTCCTGTTCCAAAATTGTAGAGATATATGTTCATTGTTGATGTTGCCAATAAACTAGCTATTCATCATCGTCATCATCAAATCCAGGATTGGATTGAATAATTGTTGAATTTGAAAGAGTTTACGCCAGTGATGTGTCCAAGGATATCTGAAGAGGAATCGTTCATATCATCTTCTACTTTAATAACCCTCACCTGTTAAAATTAGTAAATAATTAATAACATTAAGGTAGTTTTAATAATGGAGATGTGTTGGTGTTACTTACTTCGTTTTCATCTTCTTCTTCAGGATTGCTACAACTTGTTCTGTGCGTCTCTCCAAAGTCATCGTTTTTTGCAAACCTTCCTCTGACTCTAGGCCGGCTGTCGGCCAACGTTTTCCGGCAGGCATACTGTAAATAATTTGCATATATTAATTTAGAGTAAGATTTTTTTTCTTTTTTGGTAAATATTTGCATCAAATATATATAAGGTTTGTTCATGATAATCGAAAAGCGTTTAAAGTCATGTTAATAAAGGGATAGTAAAGTTGCCTTGATTTTCTTGGTGAAATTCCTCTCATTTCTTTTCTTCATGTACCTATGGATCTTCTCCTTCCTCTGCTCAACTGATAACTTGCCTACTTTAAATGTTGAATCCTCCAAACTTGATAGCTCCGATGCTACAGCAGTCGAACTGCTCGCCCCTCCCACCCGTTGTTGACTGTCTCCACTTAAAGCCTTCTAACAAAATTACACAGTAACATTAAATATTTACTTTTACTTCCATGTTTTGCACTACTTAGGTACTTTATGTTTTTTAGTACCTGTAAATCTCCAGGGTTAAAAACGCGCTGCAGAGAATCGGGACAGTAAATTCCGCCGTTATCACCCTGATAGTCTAATTCCTGAAGTTGCAAGTCGGAACCTCGAAGAATGCCGCCGGAAAAAATCCCACCGCTATCGGTGGATAATGCGGCGCTCATCGTTCCAGTAGGCATGTATGTTGTCATTGCAGCAGCGCCGAGAAAAGAGCAGGAAGGAGAAGAAGGGTTCAAAGGGACATAAGAAGGTACGGAGGAAAGGCAATCTTCTTCAAAAACTGATGGCAATGGCTGATGATGAGGCCCCAAAAGACTTGGCGCGACGGGTTCGACAGGGTACTGTGATGAAAGTCCATCTACGTTTACATTGGACATTGGGATTTGATGAGGCTGCATCGAAGAGAAGTCGAATTGATATAGTTCTGTAGAGAAAAATGGATTGACAGAAAAGGAAGGAGATGGGGAGAAGTCTATGGAGGCTGAGATGTCATTGTCAATTTCATCTTGAGAGTCAAAGATTATTGAGAGATTGTTGCTGCTGTTGTTGTTGGTGGTGTTGTTAGTGGTGGTGCTCGTCGCGGTGGTGGCCGGCGTGGTTGTGTTAGTATTAGCATTGGTGTTGTCCTGGTAGCTGTTATTAAACTTGTCGACATCTGTGGGCAAGGAGGTGGGATTTTTGGTATAAGATGAGTTTTCTTCATAACAACAGTTTGAAGAGGAAGTAACCTCAGAATTCTGAAGAGCTTCCGAAAATAATTCAGGATCACAGAAGTCAAAAAACTGAGCACTAAACGGACACGAAATGTCATCCTGTAAAATCAAAAAGTCAAAACAATGTTGTTATGATGATCATAAAACATTATAATTAAGTTAAACAATATTATACATAAATGATATATCATGAACATGACCTTCACTTTAGCCATACAAGAAACATTATTCTTCTTCATAATTTCGAAGATGGGTTTGAATCTGATTCTTATATATTTATCGACAAGCAACATCTGATCGTAAAGACCATCATTTGATTAAAAATATTCTGCAATCAAAGCCTTTGAATGGGTGCACCTAGTTTGATGTGCTATCAACTGCTACATTTCCTTTTCTTTATCACTCTCTTTTTCTTTTTTTATGCATGAAAGCGAATTTAATGAAAAACTGAAGCAAAGTTCATGGTGCGGTTGCAGAGCACCAATCTTGAGCCTACATTTGATGAAAAAACACACAAGTTCTGGGAAAAGAGGATAATCCAATCGAGGAAATTTTTGCGAAAAGTAGTAAAAGATGTTTTCTTGTGCACAGTGACATGTGTGGATTAATGCAATTTAATTTAAGAATAATATAAAAGACATTAACGAACAGGAAGTTCATGGTATGTTGTTTGTGTTCAATATTAGAAATAGGCTGAATTTGCAAACATTGGAATTGAAAGCCGCACTTAAATTAATTAAGAAATTGCATTATGCCATCCACGTGAGGTGCTATCTCTTTAATTTAATTAGGCTCTTTTTGTTCATTATCACCATAGCTATAGTGAAAAAAAAAAATCACAATTAGAAGCTTAACAAGAACACAAAAATCATGATATTCCATAATGATCAAAAAGCAAAGAAGAAAGAAAAAAAAAAATGGAGGATTGGATCTTATTATTATTGCTTTGCAGATGGTGGCTTCAGAAAATGACAGTTTGGTTCTTTCTATTGTTTTGCTTACAATAAAAACCTCATTGAAATGGTTAAAAATAATGAATAAATAAATCGAATTAACCCATGGGTCGTGCAAATTCTTCATCAAGTCAAGCAAACCTAAAAATAAGGCATGATTTTTGCAATCTAAGGTTAGATTTTGAATGTCTAAAAGAAGTCATTTATAAAGGCAAAAGAAGGATACGGTGATTAATATCCAACCGAACCGACATCACTCAAGAAAAAAAAATCCGAAACGATTTTCAATGTTCAAATTCATGTAATCTCTGTTCTACAATAAAAATTTATCTATAACCCTATTTAACATGCATTATAATCTGAAAAAAAAAAAAACACCAAACACAGCCATAAATTCTCATACAAATATAATCTTAAAACTTTTCGAATAAACGGTTTCGAATCAAGAGAATTACAATACGAAGCTGCTCCTGCTGATGAATCGTCCTGCTGCAACATCGTGGTTTCTTTCTGAACCGGAAACTAATTCAAATACGAGCTTAGAGATATCTCCAATGTAAATATTAACTAATAAAATAATACTTAATTAAATAAGTAATAATTAATGTGTGGACAAAGCAACGACAAGAATGATGTTGTTGTTGTAAGTTTGAATGTAAGAGTAAAGAAAAGAAAGACAAACTCCATTAAAGACACAGAGAGAGAGCAGAGGTGTGGTTGGAGAGAAAGTTTTTGTTTAATATATTTCGGAGAGGAAAAACGTTTGAAGGTAGCTAGGAATGGAGGGTATGGGTTGTCGAATTAGTTATATATAGCGGTTGTAATAAGGCTGTCCGTACGGGGATTGGTGCCACGTGGTACGTGGGCTTGGTCAACGCGAACGTCGCGGCAGCGCTCGTTTTCCTTTGAACTTGCGTGGCATGCGTTTTTTTATCTCTTCACTTAGCCTACGTACACGCCGGGATGTGACACGTGGATTTTTAGTGGTGGCAAGGGTAGTGATCTGTCCCTCCGTTCACCGCGGCTGGACTTTTACTGTACGGAGTTTGTTATGTTGTGCCCCGAATCCGATTTGACCAGAATTTGAGTTCCAAGCCTTTTGAAAGACCCTTTTACTAGTGAAGGTCCAATTTTAACCGTCTTAAAATAGGATTGAAATTAATACTAAATTGTACATGGTACGGCTGAGTTTGAAATATTTTCTTGAAATAAATGAAATTATATATATATATAATATATATATATATTGTTTTAATGATAAAAATGCAGTTTAAGTACTAAAGAATATTGGTGTTTATTTATTGATCCTAGATATAACAAAAATAGTAAAAAAAATGATTTTTTTTTTTTAAATTATTCTCAAATTTTGAACCAATTACTAATATAAGTATTTTATATATACTTTTCTAAATAAATACAGATTTACAGAAGTAACAGAATTATAAGTAATAAAACTAGGACAATGCGATTTTTTTTGTTTTTTTTGGTTATTATCGTAAATTCCTACACTTATTGTTTAATAGTTTGAAAATTAGTTATTAATTAATTAATTAGTTTTAACAATTTTATGGGTTATGGATGACTAACTTTTGGTGCGTACACAGCAGAAAACTAAATTTATTAGGAAACCTTTGGAATATAAACGTGCATGTGCATTGAACTGATTTTTGAAATTTTGAATAAAAGTGATCAGAATTATAAATTTGTTATTATATATATATATTATATATAAGAGAGAGAGAGAGAGGAGAGCGCAAAAGACATATTCCCCTATTGCAGAATTCTAAGTTGATAACCTTTAACAGAATTCTAAGTTGATACCTTTGATTGCATTTATTTATATTCTTACTTTAAATAACGTCGTTTCCTTTATTTTAACAGTTCCAACTTTTTACTATAGCACGGCGCACGTTAACATGCTAAAGTGTGATTTCTTTAACAAAACGGCTCGGTCTCACGTTAGTAGCAACCAGTCGACTTTTTTTGCTTTTTTGACCGACTCCAAAGTCCAAAATCACATCTGATACCATCGTTGGACTCCCTACAATCTCCTTTGCAAAACACCTACCTTCAATTGCGGACCTCACTCACCGTTTCGACTACCTCCACTCACTATGATGAGTTTAGGGTGAAATCTAGAATAAATGCAACCATAATATCAACTTAGATTTCGTTAAACCTCATGTAGGAATATGTTTTTACTCTTTATATATATTCCCATGTGAAGAAGAATAATTGAGTTTAGAATTTACCTTGCATTGGATAAGAACGAAGTTATATCACTCTACAGCTAATTCTTTATGATGTATAATAACTCAGCCCATTAGTTTGAAAATATGCTTTGGGAAAAAAAGTGGTGGATGTTAATGTCTTGGTCATACCTTTTGCAAGTGATATCGATGTCGGTCTCACTGTTTTCGTCTTGGATTCGAAATTGTTATAAAACTGGTCAATTCTTGTTATCTACCCATAATATTCTCAATATCAATACTAGTCTTGTTTAGTCGTTTTTCTTTTTCTTTTTCTTGATAAATTAAATAACTTAATTGGTTATATTATTGTCAAACATCAACAAAGTTTATGAATTATCTTTAGGTGGTCAACAGTTCGATAAAACTTTTAGTATTATTCTAGAGAACTAAGTTCAGTCTCTCTTCAGGTGTTATTGATGTACTAGTAAGCTGACCCAAACCCCCCTCATTAAAAAAAAAAAAAGACAAAATTTGTGCTATTTATCTTGATTAGTGATTCTTATATTATTAGTAAAAGCTGTTAGAATGTAATAAAGAATACTTCAAGACGGCTATCCCTGTCACTTCTTTTACACATTTAATTTAAATTAAAAAAAAAAAAACTTGTTGTTTGATTTTCATAAATGTGAATGTAGAACAGTTAATTAATAGATAGAAGAAAATGAAGCCGATAGCTTAAAACGAAAGCATATAATTCTATCATTTTCAATCTTGAATAATGACAACTTTTTAATATGCATGACGTGGGTCTCCATCAAAATAGTGAAAATTTACTTTAAATTCAAGTGACGAAAATTCAAAATCTATCAATTTGATGAAGTGCATTTTAAATTATTGCCAAATCTCTGATTCCTAAAAGTTCATAGTGTAGCTAAAACTGTCATGCCCTTTTAATTATCATCTTCTCCAATGATATACTTAAAATTGGAAATTTTTAATACATTTTTCCAGGTATTTACTTAGAATAGTATTTATGTCATTGTTTGGAATATAAGTTTTAATAATTAAGAGACACTAGTGAGTGAATAAAGTCAAACTATGCTAATATAAGGACAACCTCTAGGCATTGGCTTCCAATATAAGACAAGAAAATGACTTTTTTTTTTTTTTTTGGGTAAGTAAGTATTTTAGTCAAAAAAGAAAAAGATTACAGAGTAACACATCGGCCTAAAGGCCATAGAACACAACAAAGGCCAAACCACAGAGCATACAGGCTCAAACACGGCACAATTCCTAAGGAGCACAAAGGCTCGAAAACAAGCAAACAGGCGTAGACGCCCAAAAAGAGCATGCAGGCTCAAACGCAAAGCTCAGTAAAGACACATATTCCTAAGGAGCACTAGGCTCAATAAAAGAAGGAAAGAAAATGGCCTTGTTGGTGTTCATATTAATTAGAAGTAATTAAAACTATATAAAAAAAATGATTTCTTCAATCAAAGAATTTGTCATGAAAACACAATATTTCATCTCTGTATATAATTACATAAAAAAACTCGATAATATGTTACAATAAGTTCATTGTTTTACATTTATCTGATACAAAATTAAAACATAATACAATCATCATTACCTCAGATAGTTTGCGTCAAGACATATGATGCATCATAAACTGAATAAAAACCTATCATCAACCTTGATGATATTTTCATAATTTAAATGGTTTCACTTGACTCGTTACAATTAATTGAATTGTTATTACAATCAAATCATAATTAATCTATTGTATAAAACTCTGCAAATTAAATTTTCAAATGGTATAATTATTTACAAAGATCGCACGTTCGGGTGTATATATATTATATATAATTAGATATATATATATATATATATTATATTTCTATATATTTATATATATATTGTATAAGTATATCAAGACAATTAATATTATACTGAATGCATGGTTTTATAGAAGACAACAATTGACCCAGTATACTACATTAATTGTATTATATATATGGCTTCAACCCATGTATTCTATGGTTTTCTAGTTTGTTTTTCTTCCCACATCACCAAGTTATGGATTATCATTCTTAT